TGAGTCTCTCTCTCTCTCTCATACCCCCACACACCCCCCAAACACACACACAGAAGATGTGCATTGCAATAAGAATTTCAGTTGGACATTTGATAAGACTAAATGTGCAGCTCAAAGCTTTTGTTTATATCATGAACTTAGTTTTGTTTTAACAGATTAAGAACTCAGTATATCAAGCTTAATTTCTGTAAATGCCACATATCCAATTCTTTCACCCTTACATTCAAGCTTAATAAATGTGTTTACTATGTTTTCAGCACTTAATCCAGACAAATGGGTTGAATTTAAGCTGCAAGATACTGCAAGGGTTAGCCATAATACACAATTATTCAGGTATATCCTCAAGACGCACCAGATGCCTTAGAACTATTATTTGAAGGAAATTTATATTGATCAGAAGCATTATAAAGGCAATACGCTCTTGAAATATCTGCAATGATAGTAAGATGTCCCGATTTTATGTTCTTGTAGAATGTTTAAACATCAATGCGACTGATTTCTCTTAGTTTTCTCCAAAATTGGCAGGTTTACATTTGATCCGAATGCCAAGTTGGGTTTATACGTTGCTTCATGTCTCCTTACGAGGTATACTCTTCTGTTTATAATTACTCTGCTCTGTCTTGAAATTCCTTATTGATAGGAAGTCTGTCACTACATTGAAATACATTTTTGTCCCTGTGATCATGTAACTCTAGGGCTCCATTAGGACAGGATGCGGAAGGGAAACCCAAATATGTCGTACGCCCGTAAGTCTTTCTGTCCTCATGTTAAATGCTCATCTTGTTTTCTCCCTATTTTGGGACTTAATTATGTAACTTTGGAAGTCTTTGAATTCTTTATTTCTTACCTCAGCTGTTTGTATGAGTTATTGATCTTTCTTTTTGATTTTTGGTCACCTCTTACATTTCATTTGCATGACTTGGAGTATTTATTCGGTTTACCTTTACGCTCAGGTATACTCCTATTTCCGATCCAGATGCCAAGGGATACTTTGACTTGTTAATTAAGGTATGCTGTCAATTATATTCATTTATTCTCTTGATTTGGTTAAGTTTTTGGGGATTCATTGATCCATAGGTGTAATTCAAGCTTCTTTCATATTTGTTGAAACTCTATGCAGGTGTATCCAGAAGGAAAAATGAGCCAGCATTTCGCAAGCTTAAAACCAGGCGATGTAGTTGAAGTGAAGGGGTAATTTATCCACATTCACAAGTAATAGTAGTGGATATGCTCAAAATCATCTTCTTATCAGGTGTGTATATTTCTTGCAGGCCCATTGAAAAACTCAGATATACTCCCAACATGAAGAAACATATAGGCATGGTATGAACGACTTGTATAGAATTCCATATAAAGGATATTTTTATTTGCTCCAACTTTTGCGAATTGCTTGTGGGTTTCCATGCATTTGCATCTTCGTCGATAGCTTTAGCATTTACAGAAGTGGTGTTCAGTTCTCTCTTGCATTGTCTGTTTAATCGTGCGAATACTTACAAAAATTAAGATCATTGGTGTATGAAGAATGATAAATCTGTGTGGTCACTTTTTCTGAAGTGTGTTTTCATTCTTTCTTACAGATTGCCGGTGGTACAGGTATTACTCCAATGCTTCAGGTTATTGAGGCCATACTGAAAAATCCTGATGACACGACTCAGGTGAGCAATAGCCTATATCACATCACAAGATTCACAACTGCAGTTGATCCAATTGAAACCTTAAACTTCTCATTTAAATATATGTGTGATATTTGGGATATTCAACAGACAATGCCAATTCTATGTAATAATTGCTATATGATACTCTCCTTAGCATATATCTAATTATGTGAAATTGGTGATTGATGATGGCCTAGGTGTCACTGCTTTATGCGAATGTCTCCCCAGATGATATACTGCTTAAACAGAAACTTGACATACTTGCAGCTAGCCACCCAAATTTAAAGGTACCATTTGTCTCATCGTAAAATACCATCATGCATCACTCCAAATTTGGATATTCTATCTCATGGAACTCGGATTTATTTTTTGTAACCATATGCAGGTATTTTACACTGTAGATAATCCAACAAAGAGTTGGAAAGGGGGAAAAGGTTACGTATCAAAGGACATGGCAGTTAAAGGCTTACCTGCTCCTGGTGAAGATACTCTCATCCTGGTAAGTGATATACTACAGAGGCGCTATGTACTTGTCGATATCATCCTCTAGTTCAATTTTGATTCAAACTCATCGATCGACCTGGATTTGCTTGTGCAGGTATGTGGTCCTCCTGGGATGATGAAACATATATCTGGTGACAAGGCTCAAGACCGATCACAAGGAGAGGTAAAGAAAGGCATTATTCTGCTTTTTAATCGCGGTAAAACCAATTAGTCAATTGCCATTTTTCTTTCTTTATTTCTCGTAAGTTTCCATTTGCTTTGTTGCAGCTCACTGGCATACTAAAAGAACTCGGGTACACTGAAGAAATGGTTTACAAATTTTGATTCGGCGAAGACAATTTAGCTTTTAAGAAACAATTACTAGGTTTTATTTCAATTTTTTTGCAATAAACTGTGTTCTTAGGAAAGCATACGCAACTCGAACTTGAATTTGAAATCTTTCAATAAATTTGGGAACAATACTGAATAGGGTATATTTTGTTATGAAATTTGTGGTATTGCCCACTTGAGTTGGCCTTTGATTTTTTTTTTTACCAAAAGAAACCGTTATCTGGAATACCTGGGGGCTGAAGAAATTAGAGGGGACGAAATGTCATCTCTCTCTCTGCACATCATTGTTTACGCGAAGGAGATAATGTTGGATTCGATGTTCTCCAACGATTGGAAACATATGTCAACGGAACTGGCAGACATGGATTTTGCGGATCTCTGAGACCGCCTGAGAAGTCGGAGGGTGACACGTTCATTTACCGGCTTGTCAAGAAGGCACGAATCACTTGGATTGTTTGGCAGTAGCAGGGAAAGGCCTCAAAGAAACCAGTTCCAGGGGAGTGAAGGCCGGCTAAGCAGCGGTTTCCTTTGTCCAAAACCGTGCGAGAACTAGTCTACAGTGGATTTCCTGGGTCCAAAACCGTTGAACGAAATTCTAAAAGGGAAGGGAAGATACTTGACTAGAGGAAAGGCAGTGCTGGTAAGCTCCAATCCCGAAATACCCCCAAGATCGACACGTGACTTCTGACGTAAGTGTACTACAACACAACTCGCTCTCAAGACATGACTAAAACGAAATGTTCAACAATGCGGTATCCTTGTATTTTATCGGACGTCCCCTGAAAGATCCGTTTTAGAGTCCACATTTGCTCTTGGTTACTGATTTGGAAGCTTGGCGTAGATTTGAAAATTTTGAGTTTTAACAATAATGATAAAATAAAAAGTAAAATAAATAGTACTAAGATCGATTTTTTAATATAAAAATATCATTTTTCATTAAAGTAAATAATACCGAAACTTTTCATTAAAGTTCATTAATAAAGCATCTGATGGAGAGACAAATCAGTCAAAAAACACATTTCCTTTTGGCTGAGTCAAACGCTTTGCTTTAGAAAATTAGAACAACAATATTGACCAAGTGGTGACTCATGTTGGATTGTTTCCGGGATTAACCCGACCCGAATCCATCTAATGGCCCACACGGCTTGTTCACAGATGTCCAACAACCAGTGTTGAATTGGAGCATTAATTTACACAGAAGTCGACATGCCATTGGAAGGTTTTCTTGGTGGCTTTGACAATCTGCAAATTCGTTTAGTAACGTTTTTTTGTCTTCTAATTACAAAAAGAGTGAGAAATTAAATATTTAAGTAAGAAGATAATGTATATATATACTTTTGCTATAATTTATTTTTCCTTTTTTTTTAGTAAACAAAGTTTATGAGGAAGGAGGCTACCCCAAGTCGAAGTTAGGGCGTCTTAGCCTTTTTTTGTTTTTTTTCAGTTTTTTTGTTTTTTACAGGTTGCTTATCAAGAGAGATTGTTAGTAGCAGGATTCGAACCAAATTCTTAATCAAGAGAACAATCATTACCACCTCAAATTGTAGCTCCAAGTCGTTAAGTACACCTTTTACATGATTTAGAACATTGCACGGACAAATTCATCCAACAATTCAGGGCATCTTTAATGAAAGGCCTAAAACATTTTGAAATGTGTATTTTGGTTGGCCTGAAACCAACAAATATAAATTAAAACATAAAGAGATCTCAAAGTTACATCTTTCTCATTAGCGTAAAACTCCCGTCAACATCTTCCTGGAGTGGAAAATGCTTCATAGTTTTTGCATCTTTCCGTTGGAGATGTACTGAAAAAGGTACAAAATCTTTTGAATTTTATTATTTTTTAAAAAGTTAGTATTTTAAATAAGTTTATGTTTCCTTTATTTTTTTTTCCAGGTTGGTTATGATTTCATTGATGCTTCTTTCCTAAAAGGATCTTTAAAATCCTGATAAGATTTGGAATTTCAACTCGGGTTTTCAGTTCCAAGTACAAATTATATTCGGCGAATATTAATTAAACTTTTGAGTTATCTCAAAATATTTATGCATTTTTTCTTTAATTTTAGACGCTTGTATAATTCCTTATTTCGCATTTTTGGCTGAAAATCAAAATGAAACAAAAAGATAAACAGAAACTACCAAGCTAATTGTTTTCTTTAATTACTAAAAAATAATGAGGGAGAAAAATTAACACTGAAATAAGACACAGTAATTCATATAATTAATCGCAAATTAGCGATTAGATTCCACCTCCTAATCTCTTTCTCCCTAACATTCATTTGTCACTTTCTCTATCTCTCCCTCTCTCTCCTCCCCAAAGCAGCAAGAAAAGTCCAACACCATATAAATAAATAAACAAGCACCATTGTAGCTACTTGGACTTCAAATTTCCAATCCCAAATTCCAAATCCCATCCACCAAATCCACATAAATCGAACCCTCCAGACTCCAGAAACAAAACCCAGATCGTAGATTCAGAGATTTATCAGAAAAATTTCAGAAATCAATCCGATGGCTGAGGGGCTTCAGAGGTCTGAGAGCACGTTTAGGAGGCAGGGCTCGTCGGGGTTGATTTGGGACGACAAGTTTCTACAGCAGGCGCTGAACCAAGTGGAGGCGGAGAAGCAGGCAGAGGCAGCTCAGCAGGCTCAGGGCGGCGGCGCGGCAGCACCCACCATGGAGCGGAGCCGATCGAACGGAGGAAAGGGGTATCGGACGGTCAAGGTTTCGCCACAAGCGATGGACCCGCCCTCCCCGAAAGTCTCCGGCTGTGGGATCTGCGGCGCGTTTGGAAAACCGAAGCCGGCGTCGGCGCGTCGGCCGAAATCGAACAAACGAAGGTCGTAGAATTAATTAATTATTGAAATTTGTTAGCTGTTTTTTGTTTTAATTGGAAAAACACTGCATGCCCAGTTGTTTTTTTTTTTTTTTTTTTTCCAAATGTTATTAGAGAATTGTGGGGGAGAAAGATTTTTGAGTGACGGAAATACGATCTGGTACACACGTTGTATTAGTACAATTAATTGAAATTTTTTTCTTAAATTTCAACCAATTGTGTTATTACACTTGTGTATCGAGTCCACCGGCATACTGAAAAATTTCTTGTGGAGAAGAAGGTGTGATTGTAATGTAATGTTAAAATGTATAATTAAATACTTTTGGTGTCTGGTGAACACAATAATATCCCAGTAAAATTCTCAATTATGTTCTAATTTTTCTTAATTGGTTTTTGTTTTCTTTTTGGAGTGTCACTAGGGTTTTCGTAATCTTGATTATTATGAAGTTAATTACTAATTAAGCTTAGTGTTTTTAATGCGATTCTCTCATTTTACTAGATAATTTTCATATTGTGTTCTTGATTATCAATTCGAATTACTTCGAGCTCTTAATTTTTTTAGTGTTCGAAGATGTTCTAAGTTCGAATCTTCATTTGTATTCATAATCAGAGAATGTCGTTGAAGGGTTCACTTGAGTTAGCGGATACAATTGCTATACTTGGAATTATTGCAAGTACTATAACGGCAAAATGCTTGATAAAATGCCTTAAAAAGAGCGATTGGTTGAAGTAGCGTGCCGGTTATATCTTGTTTTGGAGATATAAATTCTGAATCCGTCACTGAGCGTTGTAATAACGATGGCCACGATGGGTTCATAGAAAGTGGGAGCTGCAAATTTGATAAATTCAACAAAGTATGGTTTTTTTCGTAAAAGGATTTTGACTTGTTTTCAATGTGGGATAAATGAATAGGATTGTATGAGCTATTTACAATATTGCCCCTTCAAGGGCAGCGCATTGCATAATGCGTCCACGCGATGGCAGCTGGCAAAGCTTATCATCTCACTTTTGTAAAGTTTTAAGACCAACATAATTTTTCAGAGGGCCGATTTGTTATACCACTTTTTTTTTCACAAAATATTTGTGTTTTTGTGGAACTCATTCTATAATATATATTAACGATGCGAATTATTTATTTTTTAAAATATTATTCATAAATTATTCTTACAAAAAAGTTAAATAAATCCATAATAATTAAAACATTTATTTGTACTGAAGAAAATTAGCAAATACGGTTCTATAAAAAAAATTCTAAACTCTTAATCTAACGGTCGTATAGTTTTAGATTTGGATGATTTTTTATAGATATTATCTAAGATCTAAAAGATTGACGATTCAGATCGTTAAAGTACATTATGAAAATGTGTGACAAAATTTATGTGAAAAAATGGTGTAACGTATTCGTCTCCAATTTTTTATATTGATATAATGTCATAAATTGTTGTGTGTTGTTGGTGTTTGGTAAGTAGCAATTAGCAATTTTTTTTTTGAACAAATGATAATATTTACATTAAAGTTGTGGATGAGTGAGTTAAGTTTCACAATGGGTTGACATAATAATGATCAATTAACCTTTGACAAAAATCGAATCTAAGATATCTCATTTACCAGAGAATAAGAATACCACTAGACCGTAATACTAAGGAGCATAAACTTTTGTTAATTCTAATGATTTTCTAATAATTATTGCCTTTTGAAAATTAAGGGCCGACCATCATATTATTCTAGTACCCGTGGCCTTTTACTTAAAAGAGTTATATTTTAATTTTGTTTAAGAATACCCCACAATGAAAGAAGTCCTTGACATCAACGTGCACTTGCACTCCCCCCCCCCCCCCCAGTTTCCAACGTTCTTATGCTAAAGTGCAAGAGAAAAAGAAATTGATGTCCTTGACATCAACGTGCACTTGCACTCCCCCCCCCCCAAGTTTCCAACGTTCTTATGCTAAAGTGCAAGAGAAAAAGAAATTGATGTAATACGAGGAATTTGCGTGCTAATTTACTGTTTTTTCGAACTGAAATATGTTGTAAATGAAGAGATGTCGAAGGAGCTTAGTAGTTTTTTACTTTTTAAATAAATATTTGTACATCTATAACGCTAGTTAAGAATACGCAAGAGTCCAAAACTAATTGTTCATTATTTAATGATTTTTTTTCCTTTTAATCCTCAGAATTTTCAGTATCTTAATATTACTCTCACATAAACTCGTTTAATTTTACAATTTTATCAATATTTTGTGCATGTGAGCTAGTATGATTGCATTGTTTTCTTCCTTTTACGCTTTTGAAAGGAAAAATATTAAAACTCAGCAATTTTATAAATATTCAATGCATGTGAACTATTATGATTACACTGTAAGACCAAAAGTCAGGTCTAGTACGAATTAGAGCTCAGCAATTTTTGGTCAACGGTATAACAAAAATGTAATTTTAGCGCCCAGAAAATATGATCTAGTGCATCAAGTGTCATAATATAAATGATTGAATATTTAAAAAAAAAAAAAACTTGTATTATGATACTTTGTATACTGAACTGTGTTCATAGTACACCAAAAACGTCTAGGTTGAAACAACCTAAAAAACATAACGTGGGAATATACAAATAAATAGGGCTAGTTTTGAAGAAAATTACAATTTACTTTGGTTGGTTCCCCGACACAATAATTGTTTAAAAGAATGTGTGGCAAAATCGACAGCTAATCCAATTTTCTATTGACCATTTGGCTTGCTTTTTATTTCGAAGTCAATAATTAATTAGGGTTTTTGACAAGAAAATTACCAATTAGGGTTAGGGTTAGGGTTACGCTGAGGTCGCTTCACAGTGGGGCTTGTTGGCTTGTAAAGACACGTATGTAATAAGGATAAGGTGCACCCATAAATTATTAAGGGCTATTGGATTTTGACAATAACATTTTCCTCCACTTAACTTCCTCAAAACAATCATTTCACTTTTCTTATCTATTTATTCACTATTTTATTTTTCATTGTTGAGCTGTTAAGGATCCACACCATATGAGGATATGAATTTTTTTTTTCTTCTGAAGATTGTTATGAAAAAAAGGAAGAAATTGTTAGTGGTGGGTTCAGAAAATTTTGTCTAACAGTTTGTCCCACAGCAACTATGGTGGAGTTTTAACTTCCACGAAAATTTTAAAACATTGTAGTTAGAAGAGAATTGGAGTAAGAGCAACAACCTCCACTAGCCTTGAAATCCGCCTTTGAATATTGATGTCAAATATTTTTAAGGTCATGAAACATAATTATGGTTTTTTGATCACCAATTCCGGCCGATTACAATAAGATTAAGAGTTTAATGTGACTTAGAAAATAAACGATTCAATAATCATGAAACATTACACGATAAAAAGAAAAGGCGAAACAACATAATAAGAAAATTTAAATTGGAAAGTTGTTAGTCTGCTTCGAATTTTAATTATTGTATTTGATTTATTTAGCAGTCCAAATCAAAAGGAAATGATGCGTTTCCGGAAAGACCTTCCGTGACTTCATAGTTGCCTCCAAAACAAGCATAGTCTCCTCATGTTCCTGTATATTTAAAAGCTTAGGGATAATAAAACTGATTAATCATGCATTATCTCACCTATTATTATATGCTTGGACAAATAGAAGAAGTAAAATTAATTAGCAACTTAGCAATCAGCAGCCGCAGCAGAAGAACCTGACCGCCCCATTACGTATATTCTTCTGCTTTATTAGACATATTCAACTAAACCAGCCAGCCACAAGGGACCACGAAATGGTCAGATCTCCAGACCAATCTGGCAACCCATGCTTGACTCCTAATCCCACCTTTTCTTTCTGTTTTTCTACATACCTGCTCATGATTGCTTCTCTTCTCTAATTACTTCACTAATTGTTGTTTCTCTCAATTTTTTTATACAAACGACAGTCTACATCAAATTAGTCTCGACTACAAGAAGGAGGATTCAAACTCGAATGCAGAGAAGAAACACATCGTTCTAACTAATTTTAGCTAAACCAAAACTTTTCTCTTGTATGTTTTGTTAATTAATATTTAATCATTTCTATTTTTGCCTCGTTTTTGTTGTTTTGTTTCGTCGAAAACATATAGCATCCTATGTCATGTTAATTTGCATCTCCACAAGCTTCACATGCAACACCAGACAACCAATAAAACCCTAATTAATTAGAGCCCAACCACGTCAAAAACGATAAACTCAACCACCTGTCACATTCCTTGTTTTTCAAAACCAAACATACCTTGCAGTTGAAGTTTATGTTTGACCTGAAAAACAAGTCTCTCCAATGATTTATGAAAGGCTGCATAAGATAAAAATCGAAACCCTAATCGAAAAGCTGAATGTGGTAATTAAATTATAAACTTAAACCCTAATTCAAAAGTTGCATGTAGAATTGCAGGTCGTCTCTGGCTAACATGGTCCACTAGCTCAATCTAAATTACGTGGACGATATTCTACTTTAAACTAATCTAAATTACAGAAGCGGTGATTTAAACTCATGTGCATAAAGGAAAGCACATCCACTCTAACCAATGTGATTATGCCCATATTTGCTCCTTCTAGTGCTTCCATGACTTCGATATGGCTATGAACCAAACTTGCAACAAAAAATTGACTATGTTTACTAAATAAGTTTTTTGAACAAAATGTCCACTAAATAATTAATTAAGGTCGAATATTTGAGATTATATATGCACACTCTAATCCAGTGTTCCTGTTTAATAATACAATGATGATCTCAACCCACAAAAAAGAAATAAATAATTAAATACAGACAAAAATCACTCTACAGCTTTCTGGATTTTAGTTCTAAACAAGAGAATGCACAGTTTCTCCATTGAAAAATATAGGAAGCAACCTGTTGAATGGGTCACGAACGACCCGAACCCCGAGCCCACGATGCAATGCCATGCCGGCCCGTACAATTTATCAAACTCCTGCATAAATCAGAGAGCCCATGATCAGTCAATGAATTTTAGTTAAGTGACTAATCACCTTGAGAAGAACTG